AGAGATGTGCACAATTGCCAGTTTCTCCCAGATCTTGACAGGATCATCAATGATGCCATCAAGATGGATGCGCTGCTCTTTGGTGACATTGAGGTATAATGCACCAGCAGCCTTTTCAGCTCTCAACTCCCATTTCTCTATTGCTTCAGTGTCAGTCCCAGGACACTTTTCAGCGCCAGAGACGAGCCTCCACAGTCCCTTGGTCATCAACCAAGCTTGCATTTCACCACTCCACTGGGGGTAGTTAGTGCCAGACAAGGGATGGAACTTGGGATCAGAGTCAGACATGATGGGTGTTGTATAAGACAATAGAGCAATGATAAATGATGTAGGAGACGGCTATAGGCGATGGAATAGTGGCAAAGACAATGGGCAACAGTAGGAGGCGAGCAGATAAGATGGTGAGGCGGTAGAGAGAGGATATGGAGAGGGTCAGAAAGCGCAAGGATAGGTCCAAATAGGGTCCAAAAAGCGTCCAAAAGCGATCCAGGAGGGTGCTAAGGCTTCCTAGTGCTGCTACAGGGTTACGCCTGTGTTCCCCTTTCAATTCCACACTGATATTAACAGAGAAATCGCCTCGAGACAGTGTTGGTTAATAGGGCTTGTATATGAGTCAACAAAGTGACTTAAGCTCCCCAAACACTGCAGACTGAGAGAGGCTCTAGGCAACAGCAAACTGAGGCAATGCAGGCGAGCTTCACAGTCTATAGGCTTGTTCTATCTGATAATGGACAGAGTAGAGAAGATTGGAGCTTTATGCACACACCAGATATGCCAAAAAGCGAAAAATAGGGCAAAAAGTCGAAATTGATGCAGAGACAGATAAGATGGATGGATTGCCACCAAATCAGAGGTATAGGGAACATTTTTATAGAGTAATAGATGGCCTAAATATCACAAGAAGTGAAGCACAGGATGTGGAGATATGCAATAGGGGTCCAATAGGGGTGAAAGTGCCAAAAATGCGAACTTCACAGAGGATGATGGAGTGGATGGATTGCCCCCAAATTGAGGTTGTAAAGTGCAATAGTATAGGGTAGTAGATGGCTCAAATAGGGCCAAGATCCGAGCACAGGATGTGGAGATATGGAATAGGGGGCCAAAAGGTGGTCAAATGATGATGAAGGCTCACAGAAAGATCCAGCTCAAATCCGACCGCTCTGACAGGTCTCCTAGGGTTATTTAGGCCGTAGAAGACGATGGTAGAAGTTTGGGGACGATCAGATAAGGATTGGATGAGATATGATGCAGATAAGACCAAAAAAGCGTCCAAAATGGGGGTAACTTGCAACAAGGAGTTGTTGTTGGAGATCAAGATGAGATCAGAGTAATCTGAGGTGATGGGTGAGATAATAAGAGTCCCAGAAGACAATGGTTACAATGGATAAGCAGTAGGACGCTTGGATGGTGAGATATGAGGTCAGGAAGATGGCTAGAGCACAGGGCTCATAACCTATTAAGAACAAAGCTTGAGGGAAGTGTCTAGCCACTTGCTGAGAGCAATCAGGGACTGGAACTAGAGTCCAATGTGAGTAACTAGATTATTAGAGAGTATGACAGGTATACAGTACCTAGAGTCCAATGTGAGTAACTAGAGAATAGGAAGCATTGGACTCTGCAGTACTGTCCGAAGTTTTGTAAACAAAGGTAAACAAAGCAGCCACAAAGGCGAAATAATAGAGAACACAATCAATAGTGAATGATAGAAGAATAGATAGAGAAAGGAATGAAAATATATAGGTAGCACAAAGGTGCAGAATCACCAAAACTAACAACTTGGTCATCCTGCTTGCTTCAAAACTTGTTATGTCTGCAAAGGTTCCACTGCTGTCCCTGGCAGCAATTACCATAAAACTACTTCACCAACTGCTCATCTTGAGTCCTTCTATCTTCTTCTCCATCTCGCCGCTACTCTCATGGGAGGTGCAACAAATTAATGTAAAAACCGCATTTTTAAACACACCCTACCTGATGATGAGATCTACTATATGGAGCAACCAGATGGTTTTGCTGAACTTCCCAGCCATGTCTGGAAGCTCAACAAGGCTCTCTATGGAATGAAGCAAGCCAGGTGTGTATGGAATCACACTATGCACACTGCCATGGCCCACTTAGGCTTTTCTTGTGTCAATTCTGAATACTGCATTTATTCCTGCACCTCCTCCACTGGCACATACATAATGGCAGTCCACATTGATTATTTCTTAGCCATTGCATCCTCAAAGAAGGAAAACAAGTGTTTTAAGATTTGAGCACCCAATGGCAAATATCAAATTCTGTGTTGGCATAGCTATAGAACACAATTACAAACCACAATCAGTTGCCCTATCTCAGACTGCATTTATTGATCATGGTGTATCACAGTTTCATCTCGACAATACTTTCCCTGCATCCACACCAATGGAAACAGGCATCCATCTCTCCCACACTCCGGCATTTGAACAACCTGACAAGGAAAGGACTCTCATGTCACAAACTCTTTACAAGTCACTCATCGGATTGCTTATGTACTTGTCCATGGGAACAAGACCAGACATAACCTTTGCTATTCAACAATTGTTGCAGTTCCTGGAGTGTTACGAACCATCACATTGGGAAGCTAGTTGTCCGCTACCCCAAAGGAACTCAAGACTTAAAACTCTTCCTAGGTGGTTCAAATGATATAAATCTTAAATATACCAATGCCAGCTTTGCAAACTGCCCCAACAGTTGTAAATCAATCACTAGATATTGAACTTTGGTTGGCTCAGGGTTGATTTCATGCTACCAAACAACAAATAGTTACAACATCTACATGCAAAGTTAAGTATATAACTGCATGTGCAACATCAAAGGAATTGATCTGGCTCAGGTCACTGCTACATGCCCTTTCAAAATCACAGTCACATTTGATACCATTACTCTGCAACAACAACTGCGCCATTGTCTTAAGCGATGACCCATCTTTCTATGCAAGGACAAAACATATTGATATTCATTATCATTATATCCGCAAACAAGTACATGCAAAACACATCAATATTCAATACATTAATGCCAAACAAAACCTTGCTAAAGCATTCATGAAAGCCCTACGCACAAAAACCTTTGTTTCTCTTTGCGGTTGCATGGGACTTAGATAATTCTTGTATCAAGGAGGAGTGTTGGGATAGAAAAGATAGGTTTTGCGATACAACAATATATTCAAACTTACACATGACTCATTTCTTGTTTCTACATATATAGTCGTTTTTGTTCTCAGTTGGTCTGGCTACAACTGAGGGTATGTTACCGGTTTTCTATTCATTGTTATTCTTAATTGATGTGATATTATTGTTGTGCTAATTGTTCCTAGTTTCTACACTATATATAATGCACTCCCAAAGAGCACAAGCTTTGACTCTGATGGCTCCCCAATGTCATGTGGCTGACAAGTTGGGAAAGACCTAGTCTTATCCGAATGACAGGCCTTTTGGGGGGAGCCCGCCTTCGGTGTCAATAAGCAATAGGTGGCGCCATAGCTGAGCTTCGGCATTAGGCGGCATTTGTAACAACCAAAGTTTGTATACTCTGGTGCATGTGACAGGCAGAGACTGGTGAGTGGAGGAGAGGATAATCTCCCTTATGGTAGGACTGAGTTTGTTGTGGGTAAACAACAGGAAGACTTGCTGAGGAGTCTCCTTGATCTATTGGGGCATTTATACTACTACAGCCTATTTGTACACGTGTACTATATAGTTGATGAAGGCAATGGCTGATGATGTCATAGGGCGCAGCCCATGCAACCAGCTCCACTGCGTGAGAGACTTGTAGCTAAGGATAAAGAAAAGCAGCACACCACGAAAAATGGAGTTTGAACAAAATAGAAAGTGCTGCATGGCACAGTGTGTGAAAACTACAGAAGAAAGTTAAAGTGGAGAATGAAATTTAAAGATCCAAAAATTGTGTATCATAACAGCATTGATGGATGATCAGCATGGGTAGGACTCAAAAAAATGTAGTAGAGCTGACTCAATAGTGACTAAGTGTTACGATAACACAATTTTTGGACTTTCCCTTTACTTTTATTCTCCGCTTTAACCTTGTACTATAGCTTTCACACAGGGTGCCGCGCGGCACTTCCCCTTCCCGCGCCGCATTGCCTTTCTTCTTATTTTGGACATAACTCTCTCACACAGTGGAGCTGGTCATACGGGCTAGGCCCCATGACATCATCAGCCACTATATCTATCAACTGTATAGTACACATGTACAAACAATCCTGTTGTAGTATATAAACCCCAATAGATCCAGGAGACTCCTTAGCGAGTCCTCCTGTTGTATACCAACTAACTCACTGCATATTAAGGGGTAACCACTCCCTCATCATCTTTCTCTATAGTGTGTTCCTGTGTGCGCCAGAGTATATCTTGGTTGTTACACTAAGCCATGCACAATAACACTCTCAAAATACAATACATGCCTTTTACAACTAAACCTTGTCATTGATCACCAATGAGCAGTGGCTTTCAATATGGTGTACAGTAATTTGTGGCATCATAGAAGAGAAAATGCCTCAGTGGGCCAATGGCCTACCTCACGGCTTTTTAAAATCAATAGCCAGGCTCACTCACTTACTGGAATATTACAACTACTAACGCCAGGCCTGATAGACATGGCCTTGCCAATGTGATAGACAATAATTTACTTACCATTTTCACCTCAGTAGCTTATCCGCAGAGTAGGCCCACCCAAAGGCTGGTCTGAATTTTGTGGAGTGCTTTCGGAAGCTCATGCTGTGCTCTCAAAAGTGTTGATGATTGTGGCTATTGACACCGAAGGCGAGCTCCCACCAAAAGGCCTTTCATTTGGAGCAGACCTTAATTAGCAAGATATATTGACTGTCATATTAATAAAGTTAGAGAGCAAAAAGGAGAATCGGACCGGGAAAATCGGTCTGGAAAATTATCGAAATGGACACCTAGATCCTGCGGGTCCAGGAATTAGGTCAGCAATTGGAGACTAGGAAAATGCGACTTTTCTCTGAAAAGTGAGTTCCAGTACGAGCTCAAAGTTAAAGTCTATTCTACCTCCGACAATTTTCTAGCTACATGTACAACAATTTCCGAATCTGTGGAAGTCGAAAAACACAACTGGTACGGATCGTAATACCTGTCCAACAACAGTAGCTGCCCATTGATAGTATGAATACACAAGCCCACCATGGGTTAAAGCTCAGAGAACATATATATAGGTGTAAGCAGATCCTGTAGTTAACACACATGGTGCTATGTAACTTAGGATAACTCATATTTCTTCTACTTGTAAGCGTGCAGTGACATTGACGACCTTGACACCAAGGACTTTGGCTCTACAAAAATAAGAATAAGACTTGCATATTTGTCCCGATTTGTCAATGCGCACCTCTCAAGTATCAACACGCGATTCCGACTGCTAACATTATGAGCTATTTCTGCTGCAAACCTTTTGTTGTGCATCATAAGAATGTCGATTTCTTTCCAGTTGCATATGAGAAATCTTTTATAGCCATTGGGGAGGAGATGACGAGTCTTAGCAGGTCGAATTAGCGAATGTAACTATGAAAACATGAGCGCACATACTCTCTTGTTGCTCCCATATCCAATACTAGGCATAGGAAGCTGACCCTTGAATCGCCGTCTCACGCGGTTGTCAATCCCTTTAGGCTTGCGCCAAGCGTCTTTGACGCTGTGATAACGGTCGGATTGATGGCGCCTAAAGACATTATAACATCAGAAACTTAGAACTCAAGAAAATAGGAAAAATGCCCAGCTTGAAGCATTTGGTCCGCTTTTTGATAATGGGAATTTTAATGGCCATGATAACCTGACGGACCAATGGTAAGTAAGTATATCGTACCAGTCAAATCGAAAGACATAAAAGTAATGAGTGTTTACATCCAACTCCATCCTCTGCCATCCATCACTCCCAAAAGATTGGCACCCGACAAATAACAGTAAAAACCAACGAAAGTGAACTAACCTATCTGCTACGCAGCAAGAGAACAAACAAAAATCACGACTGGAGCTTGAGCTGGAGATACCCTGTAAAGTTTAGCCTCGGCCCTAGATTGGTGGAGGTGGCGGACTTTGAAGTTGGAGGGAAAAAAGTGTGCGTCACGGGAACGTCGCACAAGTACACAGCCCGAGAGTCCAAGCGTCAGATTGATATACACCGAAAGATGCCGACCTGACCCGCTTGTCAGATGCAATAAAGCCCTATATATATGTCTGTCACAGGGGGAAAATATCAATTTTTCCTTGAAAAAAATGCTGATAAGATTGTATCTAAAGACAAAGTAAACACACCTTTTTTCTCCAGATACTATCATTGGACAATAGGTGCAATTGGTCTGGGGAGAAGTTGAATAACTCACCAGTTGTTGAGCTTTAGACTGTCGGAACTTGACCAGTAGATATAATTTTTAGTTTTCTAGTTGCCTATGTAGAAAAATAAGCAAGAACTTGAAGCATTGGAGCAGCGGAACAAAACCGAAAAGACGACACATGTTTTGCAATTTCTGGTCACACTGGGTCACAACGGCACTCACAAACCAAATCAGGCGGAGCTTACCAGTCAAATTCCGCCAGGTCACAAGTCCTGACACTGGTGGTATGTGTGGTACGTACCGAAGCGGAGCTAGCGGTCCTTGATTGATTACCTTGGTGTGTGATTGCCTGTTTCGGTTGCCTAGTCACGACTCCATCATTGTTTTCGTTTCTCCAGACACTTTGAGGCCCCAATCAGCTCAGTAAGTATCTGGCATTGTAGCTATTGACGTTTTCTAGAAAGATATTGCAATATTCCCAGCACAAGATCTGGTCAAATCTGGCCATCTTTCCCTCAAAATTCACACTTCTGGAGTTCAAGAGTATAGTGTCAGGTCTGTTGTTGTTGCTACAGATAAGCTATTCACTAAACTCTTTCACAATTATATTCTCTATACTATATTCTACATCTGACAATTTTCTAGCTACCTGTACAGTGATTGTTGAGCCTCTGGAGGCCCAAGTGCATATCTCTTACTGGTTGCATCCGGTGTCCAACGATAGTAAAATGGTAATAAAATTCAAAACTATTACTTGAATTTCTCCCTCTTATCTTAGGATGTAGCCGCAAAAAACATCGGACCTTGAATTATCATTTCTCTCATATTAAAATGTTATATGTATTGTCAGATCATTTCAATTGCTCAAAAGTTTTTAATGAAATTTTTTCACAATCAAGTTGGTGACTAAATGACAATTCAATTCATAATTTATCTCAGCATAACAATGTAGATCTTCTCCTTCTTTCTTTACAATTTTTCTCTACTCCAAATTTAGAATTTTTCTTCAAAGAAAATGTAAAGTATTGACTAGAATGAAAATGTAAGCAGACAAAACAGGTTAAATGTAGAACTGATTATTTTGTGATGTTGTACTGTGAAAAATATACATTTACTAGGCTAAATTTCTTTAATTTTTTTAACCCAAGGATCTAGCAATCATTGAATTAACATTCAAAGTTTACTTTCTTTTTTCTTTCTTTTGACACATATCTTACTTCAAGTTTTTCCTTCAGTTCAACAGCCTTCTGATTTGTGTAGATATGTGATTCACATATATATTGTTCTTTTCGTCATTTAACATTTTTCTCACCAGAATAAATGATACTATAAACAGCCTTTTTTCCCAAAATAAATTCTATAAAAATTCAATTGCAACAGTAAGCACTACTCTCAACTCATAATTGACTATTGATTCTAGACAATCACTAGTTACACAGTCAAGTCAACAATCAACAATCAGTGTTGATAGTCAGCAGCATTACAATTTATTCACAATTTTATCCATATTATTCTGGCCAGTATCAGAGTTTAGGGAGGCATTCTGGTCAGAATATGAATAACTCCTGACAATACCTCTGAGAATTGCTGAAAAATGCATACAGGAGTGGCTGGCAGGAAAATGAAGCCATAAGCACCTTTACATAAATACATTGCCTATAGTACTACTATACTACTCCTATCAGCAGCCCATGAAATAAATCCATGATCAGTATGAAGTACTATGGATGCTTGTTTACCTTCATATTGAAGGTTGGGATGAGTGATATCAGACAACCTGAACATTGCAAAGTCCCCATGACTCAAGAAATAGGCCTGTCTCAACCATTACAAAAGCTGCCCCCCTGAATGTTTCAAGTGGAGAACAAGACAAAACTCCTGGTCCTTGCTGTCACGGTGAGCCTTTGTCTGTATGTTGATGTTGATAACCAGTAAGAGGAAGGGGGAGGCTGGGAAGTTGTAGTTTCCTGGTAAGATAGACACAATTTGCTCAAGCATCTGGCACTCTTCAGGCAGGTGGGTTTGCATCTAATACATCAATGAGATACCTGTGAGAAAATATTGAGAACCACTTACAATACCATGTATCCAGTTAAACAGCTCTTTGGAGATGACCTTGAGGGACTGAAACATTTTCTGGTTGTCTTTGACATCCTTGGAGATGTATGGGATCATCTGGCTGTGGTTGGTATGTACACGGCCAACTCTGTCAAGCATAGAAGGAGGGATATGAAATGGAGCTTCATGACCCTGTGGAACATCAGCAATAGGGAATATATTATAAATAAACAACTCCACCTTGGTACAGTGGTGGTTGTACCATGACAAGTGAAGTGCTTGACAGGTAGAGTCAGCATTGATGCAGGTGTTCTTCTCTGTCAATAGATTCGGGGTCCCAAACACGGCTAGTAGGTTGTGTGTAAGATAATTTTGTATTTTTGCTGGAAGACTTTTGCAGATGAATGCCATTAGTGTCTAATCAGAGTTACAGATATCCACCTGGGAGCTTAAAACAAGTGAGAAATCAGCCATTGGAAATTTGTGAAAGATGTACTTGGGAACAGCATCCATAGGAATACAAATGTAGGTATCATCAGATATCTTCTTTGTAGTGCCCGCGGTGTTGATGATGAGAACTGTTGTTAGAAAACCACACACAAAAACAAACTAACACACAATCCTCCCAGATTCCATGGAACTTGTTTATGGGCTTTGCCTCCTAGAAGAGTGGGTGCTCTGGTTGTTTGTGGGGTGGTATGTATGAGGATCCTTCAACGTAAAACCCAGAGATGTATGGGTGTGAGTTTTGAGGAGGAGGGATAGTTGGAATATAGAAAGATAGGGGCTTTGTGGCGAGTATAGACGAGCACTACCTTGCTGATAGTAGCACAAGGTAGGTTTGAGAATGACAATATGATGGAGGTGACAAAGTTCCCAGTAATAGCAGGCTCCTGACGCACAGACTGTAGTGCTCAGAAGGACTCTAATCGAAAGGGATGACAATTACTTTTGAAAAGTGACGAGTGACAATGACAGCAGTTAACAGTGGTAGCAATGGGAAGTGTTGTGACCACACTGGATCACAAGTAGTAGTGAGTAGTGAACTTGAGATTAGAGAAAAAGTCTGGATTTGAGTTCTTGTTCTTTACAAGGTAAAATACAGGGGTTTATATAGTAAAAGAAAAGTAGGCTATGCACAGTATAGCTGTGCAAAAAGAATGAGAAAGAACATGAAGGAAGGAATGTACGCTGATGAATTCTGTGTAGGTAGTACAGGATAAGATTGTCAAAAAAAGGAAAAGAAAGGGATAGAACAATGGATGCTGTGAGTAATGTCACAGGTTTGTACAGCCATAAAGTAAAGTCCAATAGCAAAAAGAGAGCAGGAAAACCATGATGTCATGGGAAGATACAGGTAAAAAAAGGGCAAGGCAAAACACTATCAGTATCAACACAGTTCCTTTATTGTCAGTCAGGCATTCTAAAAAATATGTGTCCATAAAAATGATTTAAAAATCAAAAATAATCGCACTGTAAATGAATGTTCTGCTGAAAAAACAGAAACTGGAGCCACCGGTCCACCACCTAGTCCAAATCCAACAGTTCCATGGCCTCACCAATGGACTGGTTGTGTTGAACCACCTGGTCAAACGAGGGAGGGAGAGGAGTAGTCCCAATTTGGAACAAGTGAGTCCCAGGCAGCGTGTGGTAGGTGTAGCTGTAGCGAAGATGATGGACAAAAGATAAGTGTACCCAAGTGAATGGGACAGCAATGAATATGGGCGACGCAAGGGGTTGAACCTTCTCCAGCTCAAAAACTACCCACCCACGCCCCAACCAGGCAAGACAAGCGACCGATGTTTTGATAGTATATGATGGTAGATTGACGTCATAAAGATGGACCTGTTGCCCTATTTGAACCGGCTGCCGGGGCTTTGCTGATATCAGCAGTGGCACGTGGTAGTCGACGGATCAGCGATGAAAGCGGATAGGAAGTGGTGACATCAGAAATGGTGGGGGTGCAAATAAGATGAGGAGGAAGAGGGTGGAGGTGACGAAAAGGTGTATTAGAATGGGGATCCAGAAACGACCATCAGGTGAGAATAAAAAGGAGAGGAAGGGGCCCATGGTGGGGCTAGGCAAAGGAAGGGAAGTGAAGGAAACGACAAAAATGAGGGTGCAATGCAATGTGTAGCCAGTGGCGACGCAAAAATTTGCCAAAATGCCGAAATGCGGAAAGTACCGAATGGAAAAGCAAAGGTGAGCGTGACTGGATTGCTATTTCACGTGGCACTGTGCCTGTGTGGCACAAAGGCGAGTCTTTTTGAATATTTGCTTTGTTATTGACACCTGTCCATGCTACCAATCAACTTTGGTGCATGACAACGGTGTGCTAGAATAGCATTTACGTTTTCCTTATTGTGTTTTGACTGAGCTATGGCATCACGTTCTAATTGAGAAAGAAAGTTAGTGCAAAAACAAATGATTTGATGGGGAAAGACTGACTTTTGGCTTGATTGTGAGCTCGTGTGTTGGCAGCCTTTTTGATATGTATGACTTTTGTTTTGCACACTCTAGCACCGTACTGGCAATTGAGGTTCTGGATTAGCTTGAAAAGTGCCTCACCATCTTCATCAACAAACTCCCAGTCATGAAGCAAGTCTATCAGATAGTCCTTTGTACGGATCAAGTAAAAGTTCTGGATGATACGGCATAAGAGCTCATCATGAGGCCAATGGGCTGTGTGAGGGATGGTGCTGAAGCATTGACCAGATTTTGCATACCAGCGGTGAAAAGCAAAGTCTTGTAGTTTTAATTTGGTGTGGTCAACCATCTCCTTGATTAAAGGGGGAAATGTGGCCTTCATCTTACTTTTGACTTTTGTTGCACCAATAGGATCACCTGATGCAGACACTGATACAAGTGGCTGCTTTGAAAGTAGTTCAGACCGTTGACATGAACTGCAAGGGAGAAAGCATTAAGCACGTTGGCAGCTTAACTGTGAAAACTCACCAGGATTTGCATAGATCTGGTTGACTGTGGCTGGCAAGCACACACCCTTTACGTGAGCAGCAAGAAACTGAACAAGGTTTGGTTCCACACCCTCATCACCTTCTTTGTCGCCATCTGACCTTACATGGCCCAATGTGGGCATTGTCTTGCTCCTGGGGCAAGTACTCCTTCCCTTCCTCTTTGAAACTGTTCCTGATCCCTGCCTTGGCCGTTTGACAGAGGAAACAGGTACTGTGTTTGGTTCCTTGGGATCCATAAAGGCATCAGTGGGAGCTGGAGATGGGAATTGGCGCCTGAGAAAGTTACGTGTTTTTTTCAGGACCAAGGTTTCTACATATGTGCAACACACAGCGGATAAGTCTGTATTCCTTCCTGCTCTGCCAATCTTTTGAATGAGACTGTTCATAGACTGTGGCAGACCCATATTAACAATGGTTTTGATGTTTGGCTGATTAATACCCAAACCAAAGGCTATTATAGCAACAACCACATGTATTGAAGTATTGGTTAAGAGGAGGTTGAGGGTATTTTCATTGTATTTTGTAGAGGTGAGTGAGCTCCATACCCATACATCTTGTAAACACTGTGGACTGGGGGGCAGGGAATGCCACAGATACAAGGCCATGCGGAAGCCTAAATCTATTGTCCTACAATAGATGATGACCTTATCATTTTCAACACCCAGTGCACGTCAGGGAACTTGAACCCACTTAAACTATGGGTAAGTGCCTTGACATCTATCTGGATATTTGTGTGTTCACAGGACTGACATTCAAAATAGAATTGGCCTTGTTTCAGGAGTAAGCTTCAGCAAACAGACTCCCGGGCAAGTCCTGGAGTGAGTGTAGTAGTGACAGCCACAACAGGTATGCGTTCAGGTAACCTGCATCAGAGTGGAGCCATTTGACGATAGGCTTTGCAGAAGTCTTCCCCCCACTCAGTCACAACATTCTTCCAGAAGGTCTTGTCCTGTATAACAATGTCCAAGTTAGCAGCATTCAGTTTTTCTGGGCTCCATATGGATATAGGCTAATTACACTGCCGAACTTCATCCAGCAAGTTTCGGCCTTCATTGCAAGCTTTTCAAATTGTTTCAGCATGAATAGCTATTGTGGGAATGTTGAGTCAGCTGCCAGACGATACAGGTAAGTCTTAGTGTCTGTGGCTTTCATATACATGCTCACTTGTGTGTCCCCTAATGCTATCAACCGTGAAACAAGGATGATTACCGGATTTTGAGGTAATACTGCTAGTCGTTGAATAGGCTGTTTCAAAAGGTGCTGAACAATCAACATGAGCCCATAATACACAGCTGCCTTCCCTCCCCCCGTTGGCACAATCAGGAACTGTGATATTCCAGCCAGTGATAGTGCCCAACTATTCACTTGGTATGGCCTCAGTCTGTTTGGGCATTCAGGCATAGTAGTTTCTTGCTGCGCTACCAATTATTATTGATATTATGATTAATATGAGAGCATAGGCTTGTCCTCAACCACAGTGAAAAGTCACAAATGAAAATATCTAGAAATACCTTGAAATATATAGAAACTAGTGAAAATATAGTCTGGTCAGAAGTAAGGACCTTTGGCAGGAACCCCCGCTTCGGTAGTAATGAAAAGGGATCAGTGGCACAAAAAGAACGGCATGAGCGGCCTTACCTCGGGATGTGGTCGGCATCAGGCAAAGAGCATAAGACTTAGTGAAAAAGAAAAGGTTGAAGAGCAATATACATGACGTCCGAACCAGCATGGCCCCTAGCGACTTTATATCTCAAGCTAGCAGACCTGAATGGCTATCACATGAACGCCAAACACTACTACAGGAAAATCATGCACTTCAATAGATATTATTGGTATACAGTACACTATGATTGATACCGAATTCCAAAGCGACAACGACAACTTATTAACCAAGAGATTTAAGGACAATATGTAGGTAGTGTACCGTCCCTAGCAGCAGGTCCTTGCACGGGAAGCATACCAGTTTCAGTAAATGATGGATGGCGCGAGCCAAGCCGGTTGTGTGATGGAAGCAATCCTTCATCTGAAAGTACATCTACAGAAACCGTCGAGGATTCGTATTCACTACCCTCCAATGGCCAGTCTAGATCTGGCACATTTATACATGAGCCGTGGGGCTGGCCAAATACCTCCAAAGGAGGGGCCGATGCCGCTAAACCAATCGGCGGAGCACTAGGATGGGCTTCAAACGGAGGTGCAGACGGCTCCACTTCCAAGCTCGCAATGTCGTCCTCAAATGCGTATGGGTAACCGTCAAAATATTTGGCGGTCGAGTTTCTTTTAGATGGTGGCATAGGATAGGGCATATGAACATGTGAGAGGGATGGTCGAGAACAGTTTGGAGGAAAATCATCAGGGAAAACATCGGGCTCGTAATGCCATGCAGGGGCTGATATGTGCACGTGAGAGCTGCCACCTGGCTCGTCCATAATGGGTGGTGCGCTTGCCATATCAACTAATCGTGCCAGCTGAGTTTTGTCGTCCGTTGCGACATGAGCGGCAAAGTCACCAGCCTCGTATGATATGTAGTCCTCAGAGGAGGGGTCAGATTGACTGAGGTGAACAGATGAGCGTCGGAGAGCGTTGACCCTTGCAGCTGAAAAGTGTGCCAAATCTAGACTTGAAGTAGCGTAAGAGTCTACATCCGAAGGAACGGACGGAGTGTTGTAAGTGGTAGACGTATTGTACGCTGGTGGAAAAGCAGGTATGTCACTCGAGGGTGATTGCGAAACCGTGGTGGCCTTGATGGAATCGAATGTATCACTATCCTCCGAGATTTGTGAAGTAGATGATATATGGTTCTCTTGACTGAGCAGAGACGCAAGGGATTGACGCCGAGAAAGGGAGCTAGAGGGGGCAGGTGGCGGCAAGACACCCAGGGAGACATCGGGTGGATCTGTTAGCGAGAATGATGATGAACGGGAACGTGGACTTTTCATGCCAGAAAACGCTGGTCTCCTGCTCCTTCTTCGGCGGGCTGAATGTCGGATATTTGCCTTCCATCGAGCGCTTGCTTTTACCCACAGCCTCTGCTTTCCTAGAACGTCTTTATCGAACTGATCATCTTCCGACGTATCATCGGGCCTGAGCTTCTTCCTGATCTTCAGCTCCAAGTCATTTACGGCACGTAGATGCCTCTTCTTCTTTCGCCACAAGATACATCCTACCATGAATCCACATATCGATAAAGCAAGTACGAGGGACAAGGCAAGAATCAGAGGAGTGTTACTTTTAGTGGAGGAGCTGTCCTCTTTCCAGCCAGCAGGAAGAACCGACGTATCCAAAAAGTCAGTTGCAGTGGAGCTGGTAGAAATAACAATAGTTGAAGTATAGTTAGAGGAGAGGACATCTGCCGTAGTTGAAGAGGGGGGCGGGGTAGGTAGGGCGAAGTCACCATCAGTGTTAGCGACGGATGTGGTTGTACTTGTGCTGCAATACTGCTTGAGTGGGTTGTTAGAAGACAAAAGAGAGAACAAAATGGTTAAGATGAAAGACGCACCGTTGAACCATAGAGGGTCCACTTGTCAGTTTTGCGCCAGCGAGTATCAGTGCCCTGGACATATTTGTCCGCTATTTCGCGAGCGAGCTTCGTGGGTTTCCTCGTGGGGGTGGGTTCGGAGTAAGTGATGCCGCTGTCTGAAGAGAGAGCAACAGAGGGCTGATCGTCTGGGAGACCGACGGTGTCACGTTCAATGAATGGGCACAGGAAGCCTGGAGGATGAGTTTGGATAGGGAGGGGGCTGCCGCCTACAGCTGGGGGGGCAGTAGCGATGGTTGCGAGAATCGATAAGAGGCAGGAGGAAGGAGCGATGATTGGGACGTGGGGAGGACGCGTTGGGGAGCGACGAAGGGGGGCTTGGGGACGTGGAAGACGATGAGGAGAGGGTGAAGGTGGCTTGAGGTGGGGAACATAGTGTGGCTTGGCCATCATGCGAGGAAAGAGAAGACGCGCCAAGCAAGTGTCGCTGCAGGAGCGTGGCAACTCGGAAATGCAAAGCCGCAAACGTGGAAGGAGCCAGAAAGGTCGCAGAAAAACAAAAGCCGGTTTGCTGAAATACAGGCGAGCCAGGGAGTTATGTAAAGGACAGATGGGCTTTGCTCGCAGAAAGGACACAGGAAGAAGAGAGTGGGTCAGACCGGAACCTCACCTGCCAGCCAGCTTACTTAATATGCTGTACTCTTGTATGCCTCTCATTTTAGCAGATCACCACCACCTAAAATAATAATCAATCCCATTCGTCCACTAAATATTATACTGCAACCCTGCATTTCCCTCCTTTTATAGCATTTCCAAAATAGCATCATACTCTATTCCTGTAGCCATCGACTCTTCTTCCGCTCCTCCTGTCGTACCCTCGCTCGCTCACTCAGCCCCTCCCCCTCCTCAGCACCCCGTCCTCGAACCAGCACATCCTCGCTATCGCCCTCGTAAAACAGCTTGTATGTTCCTAGGCTGATCCGTATCCTCATCCCATTCCATAACCTGCTTGCACACGGCGGTGATTCGTCGGTTGTTATATATCTATATTTATTCCCATCGTGATCAGATTAGCACTCATTGAGCGCTCCCTCCTGTTAACTCACCGCGACCGCCGCAAAAATAGCACACTTCCTATCTGTGTCTTTTTTGGCACTGGCTGCCATTCACTCGGCTGCCGTAGCACAAATGCATCCACATATTCTCGCCATCGATTGATAGCGGATCCATCCCCATCTATACTGGGATCATCTTGATCCACAAGCTGCATATACATCATCTTCGAGTCACGGTGCTTTCCATTCAACTGCACATTAGTTGCGAGGATAGCTTCATGGTGGTTATTCCTCACCCATGCAACCCGGTACAAGTGCTCATCTGACCCAACGTGTCGCTCAGCTTCCCGTCGATACCGAATTATGTCTTGGTTAGACAACAATCCCTTGCTCCGGGTTTGCTGCAGAAGCGACCATATCTCCTGACACTTGTTATCCGACAACACCGTCTGGACCTATTTCAAGTCAAAAGGATATCCAGTGAAGGTCAGCAATATGGAGGTAAAAATAATCAAACCAGGGGCATGGATCAGAATACCTATAATTGGTACTGCATTCTATTGACTTACCTGTTTCACTAGTGCTGTGATCAGTTTATCGAGCGTAAAGAGATGATAAGCCTAACAATGTCCATGTCAGTTTGTAGACAAAATTTTGGAATATCGCCGTATGCCCACCTTATTGCCGAAGAACCATCGCATATGCTCTTCGAATAGTACTTGATCAAGTTCGTTATCAAATAATTTTTCGCATGCGTCCAGCAAATACATGTAGATGACATTGGTGTCGTCACTTCTTCCGTCACCGAGAGCATCCATCGCCTGTGCCAGAACTGCGGATGGGCCATTAGGATCATCTAGCCCGAGTTCAACAGCAATCGAGTTGGCTTGTAATGATGTGTGTCTTTGGTACGCTTGTTTGGCTCCACTTTCCTTACACACGCATAGACGCGAATAGAGCAACTGCACAGATGTTAAATTTAGCTACATTAGCGATAAACAGTCACATACCTGTAACAGACACAACATGGTGTAAAAAGTTGTGTTGGCGAAAAAAGGTTTCCTCGAGGCATTCTCAGTATTATTAGCAGGTGGTGGATTGGCCGAGCAGTCGTGTATCCAAATATCTTCTGCTTTCAATTCAGTTGATACAGCCTCAGCCGTCCTGTTGTCGGCATCTGGGGCATTCGGCGGGCTAATTCCGGAAAAGGGGGAGGTAGCGCGTGACTGGGCCAACGGTGAGACTCCACTAGCATCGTTTCCATAGGACTTTTCTTGTACCGTCTTGAGCAGTTGTTTGCGTAGATCGTTCGCTGGGATTCCTGAAGAATGGGCGTTGCCGCTGCCGTCAAATCTCCTTCCGTTAAGTGATTCATCCAATAGTTCATTTCCACTGTTGTCCTCACGCCCATTGCCTAGCGGCCCGCATGCGGCATTGAACTCTGCAACAGGGTACATGCACAAAAGGGGCACGAATGACCGCAGCCAATTTTCTATAGCCCGCCTTTCTGACAGGCTATATTGCCCTTGTGAATGTTCTAGGAACGCATACACCATCTTGAGGGAGTCGTGCAAAACGGAGATGTCGTAAAAGCGAAATTCTAGCTGGTGCCCAAGTGAGCCAAATACAAAGGAAGGTCGACCTTGCTCAGCTTGGACCCGGGCTTGGTCGGCCTTAATGGACTCGATATGCCCCACAAAGTGCTTGGCCGTGATACTCTTCTTGTCATTCGCCTTGAAGCTAATGCCTTGATAGTCCAGAGATTTGTAGAAATTCTTCGCATCAACTTCTCGCCATGTCTTGCTCCAATCTCGCTGTGCGCGTCTCCATTCGTCATCCTTTTGTTTCAGGCGGGCCAAAATCACAGGTACGGCGACACTGGGGCAATCCTGAAGTGCTTGAATCACCTCATTTCCGGTGTCTCGACCATAGACCTTTTTGATTATCCGATAATATATACTTTTGCTGGAGCCTCCGAGGTCAGGTTTTAGCCTAAACGCTGCTCGTTCCTCATTTGTCATCTCTTCGATGCGCGCGGCGATTGGCGAGAGTATCGCTATTGTACGAGTGAGAGCTTCGATGTGAACGTGGTATTCGTGGCGTTCTTCCTCGCTCTTGTGCAAAGCCTCCTCAAACGAGTTTTTCTTGTGGGCAATAAAGCCAGCCTCCTCCGAAGCCCAGGTTGGGTGAGACACCCATTCGTCATTCAACACAGAGCGACAAAGCTGGTCTCGACCAGAGCACGCCAATCTGATCTCCTGTAATTACGATGTGTATCAATATATGCGAATAAATGCGAGGCACAGACTCACACTCTTGGGTAATCTTCGATAACTAGGACCTTTTCCATCATCCGCTGGTAAGGCTGACAAAGCTTCTGGTGGTCCTGTTCTGATACTTCCAGGAGGTCCAAACTCAATGCTACTTCGTTTTTCATCCACGCCAATGACGTCCTTGAATTGCGTCAGAAGTTCTCCGTCACCCAAAAATGCACGGGCCATATCAACAAGCATCTTTGCATCGATTATGTCTTTGGAGTATAGGTTCAGAATTTTCAAGAAGTCCTCGTATGTTTCTCGGCCTTCGAGAGCTTTCTTCGCGCGATCAAAGAAAAGGAGTTCGTCTGGGGTAGAGCTACCTAGCGCATAAGAGGAATTCGTAAAAGCTTGAACGCTGTGTTGACCATGGCCTTGGGGTGGCTGCATTACTCCAGGTGCTTGAGTGACAGAAGCGGCATGTGGAAGAGGCGAACCAGGCACTGGGTAGGGTGAAAAGCGGGGTGACTCTGGATCAGCTTTATTGTTGAGTTTCGTTTTTTTGGACTGAGAGAATGTGGGTCAGAAGGGTATAGAAAATAAAACGATATGGTACGCCACAAACTCTACTTAATGAACCCTTTACATTGAGTGCTGGGGTAGTATCCTTCTCAGGACCTCTACGTCTTTTCTTTGCCGTGAGTGCAGCTTTTTTTAGACCTTTTTCTGATGCTGCAGTTGACATGTCAGGCTGATTCCAGGGAGAAGGCACTCCTGGGCCTGCTGTCGGGTGAGGCAATATACCCACTACTCCGCTGGGGCCGGCAGATGCATTCGCAACTTCCGGTAAAAAATCTTTGAATTCGCTCAACAAGTCCGGTGCGTCCTTGAATAGCATCTGAACTTGGACATATACTTGGGACTAAGGTAGTCAATCAAATGTTAATAAATGAAACAAAGACATCCAGTTTAAGTAACCCACATCGTGAAGATGCCTTTGCTCTTTTTGATATGTTTGCAATATCTCGAGGAATTGTTTGTACGTGTCTGGGTCATCCGCGTAACGTGCCTTAATTTTGTTCAGGTACTGTATGGCATGGTTAAACTCCCCAGCAGGCTTGTTCTCTACAGGGTGTTTGTTGTTTAGGTTACCTAGGAAAGACGCAGCAGCAGTTGTAGAATGACCCTGGAAACTGGGCGAATACATGACAGAGGGGCCGTCAAATGGCGGCTGCATGTGGGAAAGTTGATAGGGTGTAATTGACCTCGATAAGGGAGGCATAAAAGACTGAGGAGCAATATTGACGAAATTGTGACCAGGTAAGGAGGGCCTCGCAGGACCGAGTCCGTCACGAGACTGTCTGGAAGATTGACACCAGGCGCTGGTGTTCTGCGTGGTAGTGCCCGTAGGAGTTGTGACAGTGATGAAATTGATTTCCCTTGGATCCTCTGACATTTCAATGCGATAGCCAGGTGGCAAGAAAGTGTTGAAGCCTTGTATGAGATAGGGATTGCCATGGAAGAGGAGAGAAACACGCTCAATGACGCCGGGTGTGTCGATGCTGTGAATGAAGCATATCAGAGAATGAGAATGTAAAATTAACGAGAATTGATAAGAAGGAGACGACCATCCACCCATAAATGCCCCGACCGTTGGGATGCTAGAGGCACGAGGCAACCAAGAGAACAGTGAACTTGTGACGGGATCATTATTGTCCACCGAGACTGTCTTCTGTTATGACGATGGCAAACGCATTCGGCTCGGGTATATAGTAGAAAACACAACTCACACTTCGCTTTTAAAGTCCTTCATGATGTCCAAGAAGTGGTTGTACACATCAGGTTTGTCTTGAAACTGAACTTTGACGGCATCGAGATAGCTGAGGGCGTCGGTGACGTTGAGAGGCCTGTTCATTTCTGAGGATCTTTGCTGGGAGCCAGGAGGGTCGTTATCATTGTCGCAGTGAAGTGGAGGTCGAGGGGTCGAGGGTTTTGAAGTCTTAGCCTTGGACATGGAAGAGGTGGGGCGAGAGGTGGATGGGGCGAGAGCGATATCCAACGGGTCGTTGGGGGGCGAAGGAGAGGTTTTCGTTGAGTTATTATCGGATAGTGGAATGTGATGGTGAGAAAGAGATTGAATGAATGAAGTGCTTGAATCGTCCTTGTGTTTGGTGATGACTTGCTGGGACAGAGGGCCTAGGTTAGGCGGTGAATGTATTTGAGTGCCCATGTCTTGTCACGGTTCCCTCACAGTAGTTAGCGCCCAGTCAGAAATACAAATACGTAGATACAAAATGATAGAAAAATGAAAAAATCTATTCAGGACGTGTAAATGATGTGAGTCGGATCACCACAGATGTATATTGATTTCAAAAGAATATTATAAATCACAATCAAATTGAGCAGTAACGAGAATTTCTGTGTCGGATCCCTATAGACCCCAGAAGAGGTGATAATCACCCGAAAAGCGCTTGATTATCAACGTTCAGACCCAGTGAAAAGTCGTTATATAATTAGACGAGGTCCAGCCCGTGGCTCTGCCAATATTTTTACTATATGATAAATAATAATAATAATACTGTCTGATCAAAATGTTAAGTCAGTGAACTTAAGTTGTCTGTAATGTATGTTAAGTCTTTGAATCCTATGATGCAGGTTTGACTTGCTGTTCTGTTGGTGAATGTTCTTTTAAGCCTGCCCTAAACTTGTACACAGTATACTAAATTCAAGCAGATGATTTATTGAATCTTTACAAACATCAACATATATTGTAACATAAAAAGTCTATGGTATTGCATTGATAGATTGATGAGAAATATAAAAAAGAGACTCCAGCAGTGTTAAAGGATGAAAATATGATCTGATAACAAAACACTTTGGTAAAAAGGGTGAGAATTGGGGAAAAATCTACTTGCCAGTCATGGATAAAGCCAGTCAGAATTTTGGGATACACCGCATTGACAGTACATCTGTTATCACAACACAATGGGATCCACACCCGTGTACAGTGATTCTGGACCTTCTGGGCATGCAACCAATCAGTATGCTTTCCAAGTACGCCTTGGTAGCTTAGTTGGTAAAGCACCAGACCATGAAAGCTGGAGTCCCAGGTTCAAGCCCTGGCCAATGCATGTTTTCTCATACTATAAACAAATGTCATAATTCGTCATCTGTCATTTGAACCTTGTGGAAATAGCACTTTTATTCTCTCTCCTGAAGTGCAGTAAAACAATGCAACATAAAGTTGCCTATGTGAAAACACTGGAACACGTAAATCCAGCCCAATCTGTGTCACTGATTGACCTTGAGACTTGTTGATGGTCATTGCAAAGGCAACACGGACAGAGAATTGATGATGTGATAGCTTGATAGGTAATTCTTCTGATGAAGGTTCCAATGTGAGGCATGGAATAAAAATTATCTTTCCTGCATGTTTTCCTCCCAAGATACGGCACTTCAATACTCTTCCCTTCATCTCTATCAAAATCATGCGTGTTCCATTACAGAGTCCATTTGGGGGATCAATATTGCGGAGGAGCATAAGTGGACATCCAGCTTTAAGTTTGAGGTGCACTTCAAGAAGGCCAGATACTTGCAAGGAGTTCAAGAATTCCATAGGATAATGTTTATGCTCCTCTCCAACCACTTTATTAATTGACAGAGCTACTAACTCTTCTTCAGGAAATTTTGTGAGGATTGCTGAATTAAGGTTGCTAACAGCATCATTTCTTGTGGAGAGGATGGTGCAGTGGAGGAAATAATGGTCATCTTGGTCTCCATTTGCAATTCCAAGATAGGCAGTGTTGATTAATGAGTCTATGGTGTTTTCTGGCATAAGCATGTTGGCGGGAAGCTCAATACTTCCATCTCCTGCAATTCCACAACCACCACCAACATCCTGGAGTACGGTCTAGGCGCATGATTCTGTGTGAGATAACAAACATGGGTATTTGTCCACAGTCATGACCTTCTAGAAGAGGCAGAAATAATATGTTACCTTGACCCTCTTGGAACAACAGGTGTTGTTTGGTGGAAGTCCCCTCCAAAGACCATTGTAATGTCTCCAAATGAAAGCTGATTATCCAGGATGTCCCGCAATGTACAATACAATGCTTCAATTTCATGACAGTGTTGCATTGGTGCTTCATCCCAGACAATAACTCTGGTATGTCTCAATACCTCATGGAGGTCAGAGTTCTTTAAATCCATGTGGATGCTTCATTCACAGGAATAGGGATTCCAAGGCACAAATGAGCTGTGTGGTCACCCTCCAAGAGCAGGAATGCAACCCCAGAGGATGCTACACGTAGAGCAACATTATAATTATCCCTTGCTCAAACAACAGCAGTAATTGTATTACAGAGATAAGTTTTTCCCCTACCGGTACCTCCAGCACTGTGAATAAAGCAAGTTGTTCCCCAATTATGATGAATTGACTTCACGATGGTATCAAAAGCATTCCGCTGCTCTACATTTTCTCTTGATCAATAATAATACAGTTAAGTGATCAAATTTTATCAAGTCAAAAGTCAGTGAACTTGTGCTGTCTGTTCTTATAGGTGTGAGAATTCTTCAGTGTGGCTACAATTTTCACTGCGTTTACTACTACTGTACTGCTGCTCCTGTGTTGCCACAAAAACCAAACGAGAAAAACTAAGCAAAATAACCAATGCAACATGGCTCGCACACGGCATTTGGGACCACTGCCCCCTTCGTTATAGATATTATAAGGTCTGTATAAATCCATATTGAAATTGGTGAACATGTTTGGTATGATCCAAAAAACAGCCTCACATGTGTCAAGATCACCAATACCACAGCCTCCGGCAAACCTGGCCCAATCCCGACCATGACCCCCAGTGAGAAGTTGCAAAATATTAGTACACTTTCATAGATAATGTTGCAAATATATATATTTCCTTACACATTCACTGAACAAGAACACCGCCTGGAAAATAATGTTTTGCATTGTAAGAAATGTCGTTTTCTGTAAGACACTTACATGAGGCTACACAATAATGCCAAATTGTACAGAAGCTCTGTATCAATATGTAGCTTGGTGTAATTTTATGTATCAATATTTCTTTCTTTTGTTTTCAGTAAAAGCCAGAAAAAAGCAGATTATTGCCTAAAAAAACATAAGCTACAAAACATTACAGAATGATACAGAAAAAAACAGTGATGGTAGAAAGAATGCGACATGTACTAGTAAAACAAGAAACAATGTGATGGTGAACAGGTAGTATGACTCTATTTTGCTGCCGCTTCAGCCTAAAAACATATAAAAAATAGTTAGCGGCATCAAGAGAATGATAGAATATACCTTTAGCCTTTTAGCTTCGCTTTTGAAGGTCTATATAGTGCAGAATAAAGTGAGGCAGGTACAGCGAATCAATGGAGCATAATAAGACTGACCTCACGTTCACTTGCTGAAATGGTATTAAAATACTTATTGAATTTCTCCTTTGACCCTTTGTGCTTTTCCTTCCATGCTTTTTCTGCGACATTACTAAAATATATGATCAGCAAGTAGATATATTAGTATATGGAACTATCATGCTTACTGCGCTGTGAGAGCCTTTCCCACTTGCCATGACAATGGGTTCCTCCTTTTTTTAACCTTATTTCAAGTCCTCTGAGATTGTGGTGGTTGCTTTGGGAGTTTCCTTAGCTATAGCATAAGCAGGGAGTGCTAGTGATGTAGTTGATAATGGCACATTGGTAAAGAGAGTGCTGGATGAATAATTAAATAAACCGGCACTAGTAATACATGTTAGCTTATTGTAATATTGAAAAGAATGACTTACAGAGGATCGTTGAATGAAGCATTCTTGAGCTGTTGATTTCCAGCTGTTAAAATGACAGGGATGGCACAATATTGACTTTGAATGACTGGCTCGATAGATGGGTTAATGGACTCGGTGCAAGTTACTGATTCCGGTGGTGACTGTGAGGATCTTCATGACGCAGGTACAACTGATGATTCACCTGAATATATACCTTGATGATGGCCCAGTAAAAGACTCATCTTGATCAAGCTTCATTTTCTTCAAACATTTAAAGCTCAGGAAAAACACGCTTTCCGAGCTCTGGCTTGATATTATTCTTGGTATCTGCTGACTCTTATTTCAGCCAACCTTCAATGTGTGTGATATACCATCCTGAGTAAATACGCAAGCCTATTTCTTGTGCCTTCTAATTATTGTTGCATAGTCGGAAAACCCAATACTTCTTCCGTAGCTCTTTCTTGAAGAACTCTAAAGCATCAAACTTGAGAGCTTTGAATGTTGGTGCTACATATCCAAGGTCAAAGATCCGACCCAGTAGAGCTGTCGCATAGGCACAAATCTCGGATGCTTCAGAGTAAGGGATTGTTGCACCAATCTTGTCTTGAAGATATGCAGCCGTAGTGTTGTCTTTTCCAGTCACTATGACGTCGGTAGGCCTATAAATACTTTTGCAATTAGCTTTAAATGTTGTCCAACTTGTTCATTTCCAGAATTGGACCAGCAGATAATCTTCTTGTTTGAGTGGTAATATAGGATCATCCTCCACAGATCCCAATCCCTCCAACACTCCTAATGTACTACTGGTTTTGACATGCAATGAGCCCTGCGCCAAGGTTTGCAGTAAACTATTGTAGTTGTTTCTGTAAAAATGGTAATTAGAACAAGTCAAAGCAAGCTCAGACTTACTGTAAAGTGCTACACCTCTCCTCAAGAACTTTGTTTTTGTGTTGAAGATCTTGTATTTGATGCATATATTGCATGGAGGAATTGGTGATCATTGCATATGACTGGCTCAATGACGGCATGTGCATGCTCCTTGTGATTTGTCTGTTGATGTGATAATCTGGTTTCTTATATCAATAAGAGATGTAAAAGAGGAGGGTGTTCACTTTGTTGTTTTGCAGCATATACTCACCCATCAATTGCTTTGATAATCCTTGGATATTGTTGGTTGATGATTTTAATGCAAGGTTTGGACTTGGTGAGAGAGAATAGATTGGCTGGTCACTTTGAAACTCTGGCAAACATGCGGACAATACAGGCATTGGCATAGACATGGTGGTAGTATTGGTTTTTCAAGTAGAGGAAGAGTGACAAGAGAGCATAATAAGTTTGTTCAAACTCAGACAACACTCAAAATCTACTAAGTTCCAGTTTTGAGTCTATTTAAGTGTCTATCACAACGTCTATCAGTATGGCCCCACCACCCTCAATTTCACAGATCAACAATGTCCTTGTCCTTAATGTTAAAAATATCACTGACAAATATGAGACATATTCAATCAAATTTACCCCGCAAGGGTCTGGGGAGATGGTAATATATAGTACTGTATCTACACTACATTCAAAGCTAATATCATAACAGACTCTTGTTCTGAACATCAAGAAGAATATATCCAAAGATGCTGATTTTGATCACACACTGATAGCCTCTGATGCCAGGCATGTTTGTTATTTTAATTGACCACATACTAATATACTTTACAGATTGATTAACTATGAGGATCCATCAGATGGTGATAAAATCAACACACAAGTTGATGCTCAGTTATGTAAACTTCTGAAATGTTGCACTTTGAGGGCAACAGACAATAGTGTCAATAGCAGGACAACATATCCACCAAATCAAATATTCCGAGCAAGGCTTATCAGGACTGAAGACAATGTTGGTGTTGGGGGGGGTTCTGAGGCACCATCCCATAAATGCAAGAGAACGTAGGATAGAGCACTGTATCAGTAGCAAAAGAATGTGTATTTATATGTAAATTGCACAGTGTGTCAATATAAGCTCTCGTCTTCTATCTCGTCATCTGTAATATTATAGCCACCCATCCTAGTGACATCCAAGCCCAGTTTTTCAAAAAGAAAAAAGTGACCTTGGGACTGCCCCAGACCCATTACACTGTAAGGGACCATTGTTACGACACTCAATATTGTCTTCACATCAATCACTTTGAGAAGATGGTTGTCTTGTGGCTCAGATGACCAGACTAATCCTGAAGATATGTGGAGTAACTGTTGGTCTGGAGGTGAGTACAGTGACACCAATGCAACATTTTTCTGTATGCTATTGATCTTGAGCTGGAAATAGAATAAAACTTCCCCCACTTCTATATGATCACCCGAGTCAAACTAATGAGAAGTTGAGTGAAATCATCTAGTAGGATTAAACAAGTGCATACCTTTACATTGCAAGAAACCCGTATGATGGTCATTCTATCTTCTTTCCAAGATGAACGAGCAACCTGGCCATTTGGTAATCGGATGCATGCTCAACGAGTGACTTTGTGATTAGCTAAAAACTTGTGGTTAAATGCCTCCAGTATATACTTATTTACAGCTTCAACTTGGTTTGGACAGAGTATATGTGGTGTTCATTCCATAGCTCTCAAAAGAACATACTAATCTCCTAGGTCTTTTCCACCTCTGGGTATTACTGGCAAATCTGGCTTGAGGTTTGAAATGATGGCATTTAATGAATGGATTTGTGCACAATGGACCCCACACTGTGAAAGATTTGCATATGGATTAGAAGGTTGACAGATCTCTTGTACTAGATTCCCAATGGTCCGTTCCGTTGTCCATTGTAATGAGCAGATAGGTGGGCCATTTGCGACAGTTCCAGTGTTACGCACAAAGTGCTTAACAAAGTCTGAGGGTTCATCGAGGTTTGTAAAGAGACTTATCCAAAGACAAGTTTGAGAACGTAGTTCTGAGTGGAGTTCTTCCAATGAGAGTTGGTCTTCTTCTGAGTAGAAGTCTGATCTTAGGAGTCTAGCTTTGTAAGCGTAAACTGTGTAGAATCATATTAGAGAATACTACTGCTGTTACATGGTATTTATAATGGAAAGGAATCGGTGATAGGAGTTGAGTCCTATCTAGGGCAGGTCCGTCCGTTGAGGACTAAGTACTATAATAGGTACTGCGAATGCGAGAGGAACGGAAGTGTATGTGAAGGAAATGAGTCATCGGTCCGATGGTATAACCGATGAGTAAAGAGAAATGAGTAGTCCTTAAATGTCCAATAGAGATCATAACATCCAGGTGCTAGATGTAATATAGAATGTATTGAAGGTTGAACCATATGCAGGCGGTCTACATGATGTTGGTAATACAGGAGTTTATACTCCTCTTCAAGCTCATTGATGAGAATGGTTGCTTCCCGTAGTTCAGTCAATGAGATTGAATGTTGGTACATAACTCTTGTTACTCATACGAGTTTGCAGAAGTTTTGCTAGTATTTGTCTGGGAGAATATTCTGTAATATGGCAGGTGCAAGTCCGAGCAAATAGAATAAATACTCCCATGCTTTGTAGCCTGTACTGATTTTTTCAGCTGGGTTACAAGGTAGCCTGTCAAAAGAACCTGGAAAAAAAGGTCCACATTTGGCGACTACCCCGCCATGTTGCTTCCAAGTGTCACCAACTAAGACAGCCCAATCCCACAGTTTTTTACTGTCATGCTTGTCACAGTCAAATGTACCACACCATAGAGGAATGCGTAAGTCTGGTATGTTGATTGCTATAAGATGCATAATATCAGAGCCGAAACCTTTTAATAAAACTATGTGAAACTCAGCCACTGCCCAAGAGGCTATAGAAACGACTTTATTATTTACCTATGTAAAACTACAATAGAAATTAGTTTAAGGTGATCTCTAATAAATGTAATGTAACATACATCAGCCGCTGCCCAAGAGGCTATAGAAACGACTGAGGTATTTCTATACTAAACCCCCTACTACTTATAGTCGAAGGTGCTACTCGCTATAGTATAATGACTCCTAGGAGTACAATTGTGCTCCTAGGAGAACAATGGTGACTCCATGGAGTACAATGGCTACTTTGGCAGAGACTGGGTTTATTCGGTTTTGTCACTCCCACTTGAGTGCAACTGTAGTCCCATAGCTTTAGAGAATTTCCAGTGTTTTTCGTGAGTAAGGGGTTTAGTGAGAATGTCTGCAACCATATCTCCTGTAGGAACATATTTGATTACTGCCTCTCCCTTTGATACTAAGTCATCTCGGATAAAATGATATTTCCGTTGAATGTGTTTTGTGCGAGCACAGAACTGTGGATCTTGTGTAAGAATAATAGCTGCTTGATTGTCACAGTGCAATGTTGTAGGTCCATTTTGAGCATGTCCAATTTCTTCAAAAATGTCCAAAGCCATGCAAGGTATTGTCCAGCATTGCTCA